TACAGATTGTGCATCAAGCATGCCAGTGCACTCACAAGTGCCGCGCAACAAACCAGATCAGCACGACAGATCATACTACCCTTTTTGTCACCTACACACGCAAAGGGATCAGAATTTGTTAAAACGGGGTCAAAAATTGAGCAATATTTGCTAGGAAAAATGTACTTTCTGGGCTTCGGCGTGGTGCAGCATTCGATATAGCTTGTGTGCCGCTGTGCAGAAGTTCGATGTACGGGTGCGCTGGTCTTATATTTTTATATTTTTGCATGCAAAATTTAAAGAAATTTCTAAACTATTCGATATAGCCAACTATTCGATATACAGTAGACTCCCTTGAAGGCAAACTCAAGGCGACCACAATCATTTGTTCCTCTTATAAAAAGTTTGTCTATTCAGAAGTGCCCCCCAAAACCCATACAACACTCGATGTCCTGAGGTCGTCCTCATAAGGTACAATCGTCCTCGCACAGTTCTTATTGACCTTGGTACTTACTGAGGATAACAGAAGCTGGTTTAACCCAGAAACGTCTTTTCGAGTGCTTTCTGAGGACAACAATTCATCCTGAAAAAGTAACTCTAAGGACGTTTTGAAGAGGACAAAAGCAATGCGCTAGCACCGGTTCAACCGTCTTTTCTAGTGCTTTTTGAAGACAACAATTGTTTCGGAAAAGGTCCTGTCGAGGACCTTTTGGGGATGACAAAAGCATTGCACTGAGCACTTACATATAATTCCTCAAGACCTTAGTGCACCAAGTAGATGCATTTCATATGTGAAAACTTTCTCCACACGTTCGTTTCATACAGTCATAAAGTTATTGTATATTTTCGCCTCATTTGTTTCTTTTCTGGCAGAAAATTTTCAAATTACGTGTTCTTCTTAATGAGACATCCATAATAATTTGGCTTAGGTATTGAACCTGGTATTGCGAAATGTCAATTTGAAACAGTGTGTTCTTAAATGTCAAGGCCTTAAATTAGTCATTATACGCCACTGCAGCGGATAATAACAAACTAGCAGCTGGCAACCATTGACCATGCGGCACCATTCTGGATAGTCAAGTAGCCAAGCCATTCCAAGCCAACTGACTGTCAAAATGGGGTCTGTCAAGGAAGGTGCAGTGTACTAGTGAAGGTTTGTGTCCTTTGTTGTTAGTGTACATGGTTAAAAGTGAGATATGCGTGAGAGTATAAGTCATAGGTGACGACAGGAGGTAAATTGCCGTGTTTATGGGCGCACTGGGCTGCTCAACGTTCAGACTGATCATGGATGTATTGTCCCCAGCCGCCCGCAGCGAGGTGTGGTTCGAAGCAGCCTGGTCCCAACATGAAAGAATCGACTTCTGCATCTGACACATGGCCCGACCTCTGGCAAGTCAAGCCAACGCCCATGTCGAGTGTACTGGTAGGCTGTCAGAGTGGAGCCTCTAACACTAATGAGTGCATTAGACACGATACACGTGGTGATGAGGAGACTGTGTCAAACTTTCGAGGAAGATTACAAACGAGGTTGGTTGAGCTGTGTTGACTGCCTTGATACTGCTTTTCTTTTTCCAGACTATATGCGAAATCGAATGCCTGACAAAGCTGTCAGTTGTGATTAATTACTGTTAAATAAATGAATTTCAGTCACCAAGCTTTGTTTATTTTACTGTAATAGTCCAGCACTGTCCCCTCTCTGTTGATTGATACAGTATATATACACGAAACCTCGCAGGAGTTTTTCTTTTGATGTATGGAAATATCATGAAAAGAAGTAAGTCCTAAGCAGTATCACTGCCCACAGTACCAAACCGGCCACGCTATCGTTGTTCTGAAAAGATACTGAAAAAGTCCTAAAGTGTTGTGCTCACGGAGGCATACTGAGGACGTCCTGAGGTTGTGTTTGTGTTGTTTGGGAAAGCGAATGCGAACATGCTAAGTACGGCCAAATATGTTGCTTACAAACACTGAATGACGTATACTTATAATGGGGAGAAAAGGAACAAGAAAAAGCATTTATTTGGCTCCGCTTGATAAAAATTATGCTTTCAAGAAGAGCTTAGACTAATAAGTACTCAATATCGCGAATTCACAATAAATATGGTCATGAATAAATTGCCACCGCATTTTAGCAATATAACTGTAGTACGACCTTATTTTGACAATTATAAAATGATAAAAAAGGAGAAACGAGATCAATTTTCCTTTATAGAATGAAATATTTATTTTTTTTTGGCTGTTTGCCTTCTGAGAGGCTGTTTTATTGGCTTTGCTGTCACTTTTGAATATGCCCCCATTGCATATTGTTACCTTGACAAAGCCAAAAGGACTTGTTTTTGGGCTAGTTGGTGCATACTTGGTGCAGAAGACTGAGGCGCAAAAAACATCAGTAAGAGCAGGGGAGAAGACAGAACAGCGCCATTCACAAAGCCAATATGTGCCAAGTTGCTTATGAAAATCTTGAAGCCTTTTTTTTTTTTTTTTTTTGAGATTCGAATATATTTTCGTTTTCAGGCCGCAGTAACTTTTCCTGAATGAAATGCAGCTGATAAATTCCATTTACGCTACTCGTGATCACAAGCCTTCGGCACACAAAAAGACCAGATGGACCTATAGTATGTGTGCAAAATTACCTTCCTTTGTCGTGCGCTTTCATAATGAATATGGCGGATCACAATTTTCTGCATTTTACTGTGAACAGATAAGACACACACAGGTCCTATGCCAAACAGCGTAAGCTGACCACATGTGCTCAGGCGCCATTGTGTGACACCGATAACAATGCATCCGACTCCTCTGATAGGAGTGCTAGTATCGCATATGTGGTTTCAATTTCATGTGATTATAATGTACAGACAATCTTTATTTGCGTTTTCACTTTCATATGGCTTGTTTCTGGCCCCCTTCCTTTGAATTTGCCACCCCCCCCCCCCCCCCCCAAGCCAAGCTCTTGTGTTCTTCAAAACTTACTTAAAAGCTTTTTATTTCATCTCGGCAAGGAGAAAGGAGGTTGCGGAAAAAAGCTGCCTTACTGCAGCTCGACTAAGCCCACCCCCCTTGTGTTATGGTTCCGACATTGTGCAGCACTGACTATAGGTACATGGCATGCTAACAATAAGCCAAGGCATAAGTATATAGACGGTTTCAAGACTGCAAGCGTTGTACCCCAAAAAACTGCTGGTCACCGCATTTACCAGCTCCTAACATCGAACAAAAAGCACGTTTTCAAAAAATAAGGAAAGTATCTCTTTAGTTTTTCAGATAAAAGGAACGTGCGTAAAGCTCAAGGGAATCTCTTATAATTTTTATGTAGCTCAAAAGAATATTTATTTGAATATATTTGGTCAAATATGAGAAGGAAAGTGTACAAAATCAGCAGGCTATATTCTAAAACTCTTCTTGCCTACTGATGTTATCAAGGCACATTGGTGGATGAAATCGGATGTCATCAAGGACCTGTGTTTGTAAATAGCGAAATGGTCTATAAATACAATAGTGTAGGGATGCATGAAGTAAGTTGACTCTCTCTTTTTTTACACAAATATAGCAACGCTAAGCCACCACATCAAAAAGATATGCACAAAATAATTTAGAAAATAATATGAGGTAATGAATAATGGCAACCAAAAAGTAAAAGAAAATGTAATGGCCCTTAAAAACTCTATATAATATAAAGTGGTAAGTACATATGTACAATTGGTATATGCACACATATTGATGATCCGCTTGAATTACACGGCTAGATCAATGGAAATGAAATGAGTGAATAAGAAGCGAGAATACATGTTGTCCAGGTTTATTTCGTGCGTATTTAGGGTGTTTAAAGGTTCAGCAATACGATAGGATACTGTTCTCTACTCTACTCCTGTTGGGGAACTGAGGAATGCAAGAAGAATACGAAAGGATGAATGTGTTTTGTTGCTTTCACTATCTACAGGCTAGGGGTGAGAGAGATACCAGCTTTATGTGCTTATCTTTCTTTTGCACTTATCTCGCTTTCTCCTTCCACATTGCAATCTGCTTTCAATTTGCTTTGAATCTTTAGGCTAGGAACTATCTTTTTTTTTCTTTTTCATTTTGCTTTCTTTTGTTCGCCTGAACGCCCCATCATTGGGTAGAATCCTCATTTTGTTGGTCTGGACGGAAGAGGCCCGTTACATGGTTCATCTTAAGCATATTTTTTTCCATTGAGTCTATGGGAAACCAAACAAACACGCCTGTGTTGTTCGTCTCAAGCAAGAATTCGTTTCAACGGAAGTTTACTGTATCTGAGTTCGATAAATCCAGGATAAGCTGTATGATGGTATCGTTTTCATAATTTAGGCACTCATCGAAACCGATGTAATCATGCCCTGGGGAGCAATGAAAAGGACAGTAACAAGTGGTCACCCTTCGAGAGATTGCCAACCAGACAGCAATCAGCCTTGGTGGTGCGAGAAGAGACAACCACAAGAAGGATGAAACCAAAACCAGCTGCACCCTGTTCAGATGTACAAGCAAAAGATGCCGCAATGCCTTGGAGGAAAAAAAGAAGAAGAGACTTTGATGCACAAAATGAATTTCATGTATTCTCAAAGCATGACTGTACATGCCAAGCAAGCGAAATAATTTAAAAAGGTGCATTTTAAACATGAAGCAGTGTCGTACATGTACCACAAAAACCCTCTAGCCCATGTTAGCTGATGACGTGCCTGTATGGCCTCAAAGGGCTAAAAAAAAACATTTTATATATATATATATATATATATATATATATATATATATATATATATATATATATATATATATATATATTGCACTTTAGCTTTAGGTTTATATATGTTTTTTAAACAAGTTGTCTGGCATGTGCAGAGCATTACCACTGCATACCAAAGAAATGAATGATGTCTCAAAATCGTTTTAGTACTTCTTTAAATGGGCACTGTAACATTTTTTCCATGCCACCACAAGGTTTCGTCAGAGTGCATGTTGTGCAGTGTCTTTTGGCTAGCATGCATGTGAAGAAGCAACTCTCACAAGACCTTGAGCAGGCTGCTGTCAGCCTGGTGAGCGCTCTCCTGGCTGAGGATGTTCAGGGAGGCACGATCCAGCTCCCGGATGGCAGCATTCAACTTGTCGATGGCCTCGTCACACTCCTTCTGGCCGGGTGCCTCATCCCTGGCAAAAGCAATCTTCATTTTAAACAACTAGAGTAACATATGCACAGACAATTCATCTCCTGGAAGGTGGTGTCCATATATATATATATATATATATATATAAGTTATATAAGTTATATGTATATAAGTCCATATATATATAAGTTATGCACCAAGCCTTTAGTAGACCTTTTTCCAGCGAAGCTAAGAAACTACCCAAGAGGAAGAATGGGGAAGCTGAAGCTTTTTTACTTCATTTTCCATAACAAAACTGGAATAAACAAAACAGTGCACATTAGACAAACAAGTGAATGTGCTGTGCACTCATATCATTCAATAAAAGGTGTAGATTATAGCAAAGATACATTCAGGTATTTCTTTTTTTTCCAGAACTACCCGTAAGTAAAATCGCCTGTCACCCGATATTGTAGAGCGTCCAACAGTTCATTTATTTCTAAATGCTCTCAGCAACCATTAACAAATTGGGTTTTTTTCTTATTGTATAACCATGCACCCCACAGATATGCAATGGTTCCCTGTCAGCAAAACCATGCCAATCGTTGGGATGTTTTTCTTTTGTTTTTGCAAACTGCTACAAAAGTGTTGAATTGTATGCTTTTCTGCAATGCATATTATATCTTTTGTATAGATTTTTACAATTATTACCACTGTCACTATATTGTATGATGCTAGTTCTGTTTTGTCACAAACAGGTCACTAGTATGTAATAGATAAATAAGTAAATAAGCTTTCATCATCATTCCTTGACACTATCACTGTCAATGTCATACTTTACAAAATGCCGGGTGCATTTTAGCATGTTGTCTCACAAATTGACTACACTTTAAATACGTATAGCCATGCTCAAAATAAATATGAGATTACTTTTTAAAGACCACAGTGGCTAAATGCAGTTGGCAAGTGCAGGAGTGTTCATGCTACTAAAGACATAAGCAGAAAGCTATTTCTGGCTATTTGATGTGTCACGTTCATTCATATTAGTACATTACAAGCAATCGTTGGATAAACATGAATTCGCTGTTCCACCTCATAATTATTTAGGTACATTTCAACATTTCCACGCGACAATAAGCATGCTGCCAAACTGCTGCATATCTGCTACAGATCGACTCATTAATACCTACACTGCACTGCGCTAATCTCGCATTTCATGCCTGCACATAATTGCGGAGAAATTTGGATGTGTGCAGTATTCACGCTGTAAGAATAGTCAGAACGTGACAATGTGTTCTTTCCATTTCATTGTTCCAAGGCGGCGAACAGCTGGCTCGCTTGGTGTACACACTTTTTTCACAGTATTTCGCTCACCTTCAGGGCACTTTGAGATTGCTTAAGAAAGGTCCATTGTAATGTAGGCAGGCACTGCAATAAGCATGCAATGCTACACAGAGGATTCTGAATTTCAATACCCAAAACTCGATATAATGAATTATCGGTTATGATGAAGTAATTGAAGAATAGCCTTGCAATACATATAGTGACAGGAATAAACTTTCATAACAAACCTTTGGGTAAAAAAAACCTATTTTTATGTACGATGCAACTTCTTTATAATGAAGTTTGATTTTATTACTGCTACACCTAAAAATAATGATGACCATAAATTGCCAATGTACTAAGTCATATCACAACCCCTCTGGGTTGAAATTCAGCCTTTTATGCAATCTATATACAGAGACCAACAGATCCACTCTCACATAAAAGATGCCACATAAATAATGATGTAACAGACAAGTAGAACAGAAAAAAACCACACATGCCAGAATCTGCTTTGGGAGTTGTCTATGAGGAGTGCATTCATGCTACCGAGGTCTGCTCATTTAGAGCAATTCTTGGAGCAGCAAGATTTGCATTTTTGAGCTCTTTGGAGCAGCAAACTTTGTATTCTGGAGCACTTTGGAGCAGAAATCTTATTTTGGAGCAATCCAGAGCAGCTAACTTTACATCCTGAAGGAAAAGCAAGTTGCATTTACATTCAAGGACATGAATAATTATTTTGGGGCTCTTGTGAAGAGCTAAAAAATGCGATGATTAATTGCAAAGAGATCTTAGGAGCAGTCCCTATTTCAGTTGATCATGCAAAAATAATGTCGTCATGCTGTTGAGCATTCTAGAAAAACTTGTTCTGTGATTACTTTTGTAGCAAATAAACAGAATACTGGTTGAATAAAGTAGTACTTCATTAAATGACATTTTGAATGCACCTATGTGGTTCTCAGCAGATTTGGTAGACAAACGCCACACACTTACACAGTCCTAACTGCATTTCTCTAAGATGAATTGAAAGAATAAAAAGGTTCTTCTTTTTTTCACAACTGATTATATTGCTACAGTCGAGCCCGACTATATCGAACCCTTTTATACCAAATTATCCCGTATATCGAACCATTCCTAAACACGGTAAGTTTACATTGAGAATATATAGCAAAAGTTACTGTTTTATCTAAAGAAAATAGCAATGACCACTGATATATCAAACTCCATGTGTCTCAAAAGTGCCCCAGCAAGTTGGCTTTCCCTCGCGGTGGCGGAGAAAACTGCCGGCGCCACCCTAGAAAAAGTTGGTTGACCCGGTTGTGCGCGGGCGAACACCCCCCTTCAAGAAATGATCTTGGCCCGCTCGCAGCGCTTACAGCCAATCAGAGGCAGTCGTGCTTTCTCCGAGGCGCAGAAGCGGTAGAAGTAAGCGCCATTTTTTCTTTCTTTATGCTTGCGTGCCTGCTGCTGCCGAATCAGAGGCTGTCGTGCTTTCTCCGAGGTGTGGAGACTGTAGAAGTGAGCGCCATTTTTTCTTTCTTTGTGCTTGCATGCCCATTCAGCGTGGTCTGTGGTGTTGCCTGTTGATGCTCTGTGAACTGTATTGGCGCTGTCATCATGGCTTGCGCAAAGAGGTGAAATTTGCCGTTCGTCGCGAAACTCGAAATCATCAATCGGGTTGAGCGCGGTGAAAAGAAGTCCGACGTCGCCGCCGCGTACAAAATTCCAAGGAGCACCTTGAGTACTATTCTGAAAAACAAGGCAGACATCAGGGTCAAGTCGGCCAAAAGGCCAGGTGCTCGTGGCGCCCGACGTGTGCGCGCTGCTGTGTACGAAGGTGTTGAAGCGGCCGTTTGCATGTGGTTTGTGGACGTTTAGTCGCGAAACATCCCGGTGTCCAGCCCCATGACTGAGAAGAAAGCCAAAGACCTTGCTTTTCTGGTTGGCAGGAATGATTTCCAAGGCGGTTCAGGCTGGCTTCAGCGGTTCAAATAACGGCCCGACATCGTTGGCAAAGCTGTTACAGGTGAAAGCAGAGCGGTGGACCTGGACAGCGTAGAAAAATGGCTTGAGGAAAGCTGGTGAGATATCGCAGCAAGATATAGAGCCCAAGATATCTTCAATGCGGATGAAACTGCTCGATTTTGGCAAATGTTTCCAAACAAGACACTTGCGTGTCGTGGCGACAAGACAAGCCGCGGCAAGGCAAACAAAGCTCGTGTGTCCATGCTGTTGGCAGCTAATTTAGACGGATCAAAAAAGCTTCGACCTCTGGTTATCGGAAAAAGCACGGCACCGCGGTGTTTTCGAAATGCGCTGTCGCTTCCAGTTACCTACCGAGCAAACTCAAAAGCGTGGATGACCGGGGAGTTTTTCAGCAGATGGCTATCGTCGTGGAATGATGATTTGGTAGGTGAAAATTGCAAGGTGTGCCTGCTCGTGGACAATTGTTCATCGCACCACTGCAGTACGACCTTCAGCAACATCGAGCTGCGTTTTTTGCCCCTGAACACTACGTCTGTACTGCAACCACTGGATCAAGGCGTTATACACACAATGAAAGCCGGCGATCGGAAGCGCCTGGTGGAGAGGCTGCTGCAGAACCTTCGTGTCGGCAGGGAGCTTAAGATCGACTTGCTCGAAGCTATTTCTATGTTGAGTAGACCGTGGGCAGATGTCAAGAAGGAGACGATCCAGAACTGCTTTAGGCATGCCGGCTTCCGCATGCCTGGTGATCACACCCCAAATTCTGACAGCACTGAAGACACCGCAGGTGTTTCTGCTGAAGTTTGGAACGAGTTGGCAGAGTTCCCGAGTGCTATCGATGAATCGACATTCGACGAGCTCGTCAGTGCGGACGATGATGTCCCCATGATGAGCCAATTTCAGGATGAGGATTACATTGAAGACGTCGTGCCGACCACGAGCCAAAGCGACAGCAATATGGAAATCGACGACGGCCCATTGCCTGCATCCTCCGAAGTGATCATAGTGCACTTGCGTTGGTCCAGTGCTATTGCTTGAATGTGGAAGGTTGCAGCCTCAGCTGCTCCGGCTCGTTGGACAACACGGAGGTGTGCGTGCTGTCGCAGGCAGCGAAGTCGTTGACACAGAAAAAAATCCGGGACTATTTTGTTCCACAGTAGGGCACGCAAGTAAGCCACCATGTTAATAAAGTACTTTTCTTCTAGTTTGTTATGTGCCTTTGTGTCAAAACCTTGTGGGGGTGCTGACACCCCCCCTGTAAAGTTGTCTGCGCCGCGGGGCGCACGTGTCTCGCCCCAGGGCGTTATTTCGGTGGTGACCACCACCGGGCGATAGATGGCGTTGTGTTCGCTTTGAGTACCACTGTTGGTAGAGTGGTAGCGCCGGTGGTGGCCCCTGGCGGAAGGCGGGCCTTGGCGGTGGGCGAGCGTTGAGCGAGCCTCTTCTGCGCGTGGCGGCTGCCGCGAACGGTTGTCTGTAGCGCGGGTCCCCGGTGCTCGGCACCGCGGGCTTCGCGCCGGGGTCCCGCGTGGAAAGTCAGGCGTTGGCGACGCCGTCTTGGGTATGTGCTAGTGTGTTGAGTGTGTTAGTGTGTGTTTATCATGTTATTGTGTGTTTAGTGTGTCACTGGGTTATGTTGTTTGTATGGTAGCGTGTTAGTTGAAATTGGTGTATCATTCGGCGGACGATATCGTCGTCTAAATTAGTTAATAAATGTATGTATGTGGTGTGCTTTGTACCGACCGTGTCCACTGT